CTCCGTTGCGCGCTGCTCCACCAACCATTGTGGATCAGTTTTTGAGGCTGTAAGTATGTCCAAGCAGTGAGATCCTGTAAAATTAAATCAAATCATCCCTCATTTTTCTTATCTCTTTCAAATTATACTTTGAAAATTAATCATTCAAGTAAATCACAAAAACACACATGGACCTTAATTACCATTTTTCGTTTTAACAGCAACGATGCTTTTGGATATGTTCTCCAATACCCTGCATTGTACACAACCCAGAGACAACATAAACAACATTAGAACGGCGAAGTTAAAAATTGTCAATTTCTTTTTAATTAGTTAATTTATCATGATAATTAAGAGTTATTTATTTATATATCCAAATTAATTTTTTGTTACCCTCCACTGCTATAAGGGTCTCTAAGCCCATTCGAGAAGATGATGTTGCTGCCAAATCTCTGAAGAATGAACTTTATGTCCTGCAATTAATTAGTTATTCGTAATCAATAACCTTAATCACATTGATTTTATGAGATAAAGAAATTAATTATGAGAAGGGTTAAAACCAATTGGTATATCTTACATGGCCTCCGTAGTAAGAAGTAATCCAATGAGGCCGAGGAGGAACCCCATAGTTCCTCTTGCATTCGCTCTCGAAGTTGCTTAAATCAAATGGTGATGGAGGAAACATGGTGTCGTTGCCAGTCCCTATAGGAATCACCAGCTCGCTGCACGTCTACATAACCATAAAATTAATTAAGACCAAATTTGAAGTCATGCTCTTAATGAAACCTTTTTGTTTTTATGTTATTTGGTTAATGATATGTTAATAACTTCAGAACTGAAAAACATAAATCTCATTCAAAATATTAACATAATTTTTTTATATTTTTTTATTTTGTATTGTATGATAAGAAGTAATTATTTTTGTTTCTTAATTTACTATACTTACATATTATATAATTCAAATGTAAAATCTCTTATTTTTATTAAAAAATTATCACTAAATTATTTAAATCATTAGTAAAATATTAACGCAATTTATTGACAAGAAGAAGTTATGTAGCTTACCAATTAAATTCAAGAAAAAAAATTGATATTGACATATGTTAATCTATTGTAGATAAGTCTATATATTTTATAAAGCTTAGTTATTAAACTAACATTTAATATTGGTAATTATTTAAAAACATTTTTGTTCTTGTAACCCAATATGATTGAAAATAAATTACATATAGACGATCAAAAAGATATTTTTATGATTTTAGTTATAAACATGCATATATATACATATATGTGTGTGTCTGTGTGTACCTGCCATTCCCAGCCAATTTCTGTTTCGGATAAGTTACTTGACGGATTAACATAGCATGGCTCATTCCCTTCATAAGCAGCCACACCTGCAAATATTTTGTTTAGAATATCATCCTCATTTCCAGAAGAGGAATTAGCAGCTTCGTCAATGCCACCGCAGATGACGGTAACAGGATATTCTGGAGGCTGATTATATTGAGCCGCCTCGCTATACAAATCGTTCAGGTAGTTCTTCAACTCAGAAGCTTTCGCCAACGGTCTAAAATGATAATGACACGTACGTTTACAGCCCCAGAATTGAAAAAAAAAAATCTCGTCAATTAATTGATTTTTTGTATAAATATATTTTTCGGTATAGACTAACTACATACTTAGATTGACTGCAGTTCAAAAAAAAAAAAAAACATACTTAGACTGACTGCAAAAACAGTCGGTTTGAATTGAAAAATATGTTTTTGTCGTTTTTTAAAATTGTGGATGGTAGTAAGGGGAGAGATTGAAAATAAACATACTTGCAAGTTTTGAACTTTTGGCTGAGGTTAGCAAGACCTTGAGGCTGTGAAGCAACATCATCAATCACGGACCATGAATTTCTTATTGTTTGGTAACATGTTTTGCTAGCTTCCTTCATATATCCACAATTAAATTTTATTTATTAGAGAAAATTAATATTGAAAAGGAAATTAGTAAAGTAAAAAATAAATACTAGTAATCATGAAGATGTTACATTCCATACCTTAAAGTCTTTTGTGACCACGGAAGAATATCCACCAGGTGGTGTGAGTGTGATATTGTCAAAGTAAAGGATGGGAGCCGATGATGCCAAAGCTCCAATGGCAACATGTGGGTATTTTAGCCGGAACCATGAAGCAAGCACTAAAATATATCATAACCAAAAAAAATGTTAAATATAACCAAAATTTTTTATTGAATAAAAAAAAACTTATAATTAATATCTATTATTTGCAATCAAATTGTAAAACATAAGTACTTGAAGAGAAAAAACAATTCAAATATTAGGAGACCACTTCTCGTTTCAATGACTCACATTTTATAATTTGAAAAGATTGTAAAACAGGAATAATTTGAGAGAAAAAGGAGTTCAAATATTAGGGGACCACCCTTTATTTCAATGACTCACATTCTGTAATTTAAAATAATTTAGACTGTAAAATAAAAATTAAGCTATTTTGAAAAAAACAAAAAATACTTACTTCCACCGTATGAGCCTCCTATAACGATGACAGGGGAATGTTGGGCATGCCACTCTTTCTTTATATGTAAGAGGATTTGTGCATAATCTGCTATGGCTTGTGCCGAACTGAAATATCCACGAATGCTTGCGTTTTTCATGACTTCTTCTCTTGACGCAAATGGGATTGATTGCCCATAATAACGATGCTGATCATATATGAAAGAAAAGTAATTATGTTAGAATCTCTCTCCATTGTTAGAATCTCTTGGGCCTTGTTTGGTTATGTAATACCTCTATGAATACTTGGAGAGCCTTAAACCGGGGGGCAGTGTAGTTGAGAAATCCGATGCCGACGAGATCATTGTCAATGGACTCTTCGGCTCCAAGATAGGCCAGAATGGGTGCATTTGGTCCACCCCAGTACTGGAAATTCATTACGTATCTTTGTTGAAATTTGGTGTAGCTTTCAGGCCTATAGTTGAAGTGATCCAGCGTCTGGTTGTAGTAAAATGTCTGGAATTCCTCGGAGCTCCCTGTTTTCAAAATTTCTGGTCGTTGTTCCCGGATGACTCCTCTTGTTGGACTCAGCCTTGGGACGTCGATCCGAGTAGCAGAAGCCTGAGAGACGGTCAAAACTACTGTCACACAAAGAATTAGAAGCCATTGAAACATTGAGTGTTTCATCTCTGGTTTTTTGTATTTGTGCTTGTGAGCCTTTGAGGGATACATATGCTTCTATATATGGTTACCCTGCTTTAAAAAATTAGACTTGGAAACAGGGACGGAGCCAGGAAGGGTACAAGGTGGGGCGCTTGCCCCTCCCCCGTAGACTTTTTAAAAAAAATTAAATAGGTCCTATACTTTTAAAAAATCAAATAAACCCTTTTTGCAAAAAAATAAAATGCTATGTTTTAACTTTTATTCTATTATAGATCTTATGATAAAGTACTAATAACTTGATAAGTAAAATAAATTTAATAAAATATTTTAATTTATTTGACATACTTGTCATTATAGTATATATGCAGAATTAATGATTATTTGTATTAAGCAACAAAATAAAATTAACTTGAAATTGATATTTTCAATTCTTTAGAATATTTAGTTTTCCTATTTATATCATATTAAGTAATATTTTATAATAGAAGTTGTGTTTTATATTAAAATTTAAATATACATAAATTTTAACAAATTTTTCTACATTTAAGATCTTTGAAATTTTAATTTTTGTATATTTAAATCTTAATCTTATTTATAAATTACAAGCCAAGAAATTCATTTTTAGCATACATATTTCAAATAGGATTTTACCGCCCCTAAGATTATTTTCTGGCTTCGTCCCTGCTTGGAAATTAATATAGATAAGAGACACTACCGGCCAGCCAAAAAAATTGATAAAAAAATCATATAAAATCTAAATTATAATAGAAAAACCTAAAACTTAACCCGCATAGGCGAAAAAAAAAAGTTTTTTAATATAGTTATATTAATTTTAATTATTATTTTATATAATCTTAGATAATAGAAATAAACCTATAATTATTGTGCAACACAATACATCACAACACTTTCAAACAAAATTTTAACCTACTTAAGTCTAATACCATTGGTAAACAAGTAAAGAATGGAGATGTGGTAGAAACAAGAAAAGTAATCCTAAGGGGTAGTCCAATCGGTTAAAAACTTAAAATTTTAAATTCAATATGTCATATTTAAATTTTGAGTCGTTTTAATTTATCATCAAATATATTAAAAAAATAGAAATAAATATGATGAGGATCGAATATTTTAAGACTTCTATTTCTCAAAATTCCAAGCCAAGATTTCCAAAATTTTTGCAAGAAGCTCTGTTTTACTTTGTTTTTTCTTTTTCTTTCTCTTTTTTTTTTTTGTTCGTTTAATGTGATGAGAAGTTTTTTCTGCCAACTAAAGCCCATTTGACCCCTTTCATATTTTATACTAATTTTTATTTGAAACTTTTACAGTCTAAATGGACAATTTTGGATTCAAGCTTCATTTGAAAATGTTTTTCGATCGATTGCTTTAGCTTTTAGTATTTTTGGAATGAGTGTTTTATTGCACTCATTCCTAAAACAGAAAGTCCTGAAAGAGTCCAGTAGTTTTGTCCTATTGGCCTTTGTTATACATAAAAAATCATTTCAAAAACTTTGTTCAATAGCATGAAACCTTTTCTGAATTCTATTATCTCACCTTGCCAAACTAGCTTCATCCCTAATAGGAAAGCTACATATAATGTTCTCATTCTACATAAGGGAAGAGAGTAGGCGACATGATTGTGAAACTTGATTTGGAGTAGGCTTATGAAAATATTGAATGGAGCTTTATTAGAGAGCTCTTATGTCCAACACCTTTCTTTTCTGGTATAGTTGAAATATTATATTATAATTATTAAAATTATAAAATATATATATATGGATGATAAATGAAAAAACATAAATTATTTAAAACTGCTTAATATGTGAAGAAAATAAACAACTGATAACTATTTTAAAATGGATGGAATAATTAGCAGAATTTATTTAGATTCATTTAGTATAGTTGTGATGTTGATTTCTTGATTTTAGTTTTAAAAATTTAGAAACCTTAAAATAAAATTACGTAGTTTTATAAATTAATTAACTTTTGAATTTTAGCTATTTGTTTTAAAATTTTATACCAAATTAGTTAATCATTTTAATTTTTAATTTTGGTTCTTAATTGTTAATTTTGATTATTTAAATTTTGGAAATTAAAACCAAAACAAAAAATTCAAAACCACAACCATACTGAAAAGAACTAAAGTTAACCAAAATTTTTAAATCCTTAATTAGTAATCTAACCATTTTAGTTAAATAAATTTTTTATTGAATTAAATTAATTAAAAAAATTAAGTTAGGACATTGGGTAATTTTAAATTAATCAAACTATACCCATCCTTTGAGATGGAAAAAGGTAGCGAGAGAAAGAGATGGATGTTAATTGTAGAGTTTTAATTTCAATAATTATATAATTAATATTAAAGAAAAAGATCACTTTTTAATTATTACCCAAAGGTTATTGTGGACATCCTACAAAATTTTGATACACATAATAAATTTATTGAGAATCGTATCCACTTGTTTAGGTTAAAATATGCGTTTGAACCCCTTTCCTTTATTAAGTTTAAAGGTTTTTGTCTTTTACCTTATATTATAAAGTTTTTATCTCATGAATTTAAAGGTTTAAAGATTTCAATTCTTAAATTAATAAAATTCATTAACTTTCTGTTAAAGTAAAAATAAAATAGTTACAAAATCAGTCTCATGTATTAAAGATATAACAATTTAGTTCTAAAAGTTTAAAATTAATAAATTAAAAATAATTAGTAGATGTTTTTGTCATATACTTGAAAATAGTATTAAATATCTATAATTAAATTGAGCGATTAGTTTAATTTGAAGAAAGAATTCTAATTGAGATTAAAGAAAATTTATTAACTAAGTTAAAACAAAAAAACCCAAGAGACTAGAAAAATATAGCCAAAAAATTTATTTTAATTTTAGTCAGATTTCTTTCTTTAAATTTAGTTAATCACTCGATTTGATTGTAGATATTTAATATTATTCTTATGTATGTGACAAAGATATCCACTAATTTATTAATTTTTTAATTTTAAACTGTAGAACTAAGTTGTTATATTTTTAATCTTTAAAAATTGATTTTGTAAATATTTTATTTTTATTTTAATAGAGAGTTAACAGATTCTATTAGTTTAAGGGTTAAAATTTTCAAACCTTTAAATCTAGAGGCCAAAAAACTTCATAGTGTAAGATAATGGATTAAAATCTTCAAACTTATTATGATGAGAGTTAAATGCATGTTTTAGCTACTTGTGTAAGACTTTAAATTGGGATTTCATCAAATTCACAAGATTATTTACCCAAAAAAAAAAAAATTCAAATTCACAAGATCAAATCCTTGTTTGCACCCTAGACATTTTTTCTTTCCATGATCAACACCCTAAAATAATTTTTCTTTTGGTTAACACCCTCCATAATTTAAAATTTACAAAAAACCTCAAATTACTAACAAAATCAAAGTGCAAATAATAGGTTTGATCGTTAATTTTTTATGTAAATAAAGAGTTTAACTGTTAATTTTTTAGTTTTTTATAAGTTTTAAATTGTAGAAAGTATTGATTAAGATCAAAATTAATTTAGAATATTGACTATAAAAAGAAAAGATGTCTAAGGGACAAATAAGTGCTTTGGCCAAATCACAATTAATTTATTTTCCCTTACTAATTTGCCTTGTTAAGGAAATGTCCTTGTATAGGAGTATTAGAGGTTGTGCACATATTAATGGTCCAATGCAAGATGAATCAGTAACATCTGCTTCAAATTCTTCTTGCAAGAACATACAAAGGATAAAGACATTAGCTAAAATGAGGAAATTCTCTGCCTTTGTCCTTCTTGTTATTGTCGTCTTTGTTGCTTTTGGTAAATTCTCATCTTCTCTTTCTAATTGTTATGATATATTTAGGAAAGTTAACCTGATGGTTCTTCGCATATTAGCAAAATAATATGAATTATGGTGTAGGAAATGGGCCCATGGTGGCGAGTGCCAAGATATGCGAAGACAAACTGAATACTGTAGCTGGGTGTGTCCGAGAGCAGTGTACCATAGCGTGTAAAAATGTATACGGACCTAGTGCTGTGGGGAAATGTACTCGACCTGTGGATTGCACTTGTTCTCACCCTTGTTAATTTCAACCCATGTTGAAATTGTTGAAATAACCTACAACGATATAATAAAACTAGTTCTCTATATTTTTGTTTCATCTTGAATTATTTTGTCAATTCTCTCTCTCTCTCTCTTTTTATGTCTGATATTAGCTATACAAAATGAGACACTTTTCCTATTATTTCAAATTTTTTTTACTTAATTTAAAATTTTTAACTCAAAATACAATATCTTTAATTAGTTAAATTACTCTTTAAAAGAGTAAGTTTTCTCATTATTCATTTTTTATTTTTTCTTAGTTTGTGGCTTGTTATTGTATTAAAATTTTGTTGGTGGCTTTTTGAGCGATCAACATATAAAGTAAGATTGCACTTGATTTTTTGAGCTTAGTGGCATTAATTGCGTTGAAAAATGTGTACTCCTTCCTTTCTTTGGGTTTGGATTTCAATAACACCTCATGTTAACATTAACATGTTAAAAAAAAATAAAAAAAAAACAAATAAGGTGAGATTATAAAATTTGGTCCCCGCACAAATTGGGTTCGAAAACGAAAGCACGTTTATCGGGGACCCAGAAGCATTTGGAGCAGCAGCCTGCATTATGTAGCATGTTGAAACTCCTGAAAGAAGTATTTCAAGAAGTTTAATAATTTTAAATTTTAAATTAAAAATTTTGAATTCAAAACTCAAATGGGTAAAGAGAATTATCTCTTTACATAACTCATATCGAAAAAAACATATATATTTTGTAATTCTAAAATTCATAGTTATTGGATTAAGAGTGGACTGCTGATACTAGGGGTAGGGCTTCATTTAATGGCTGATTTTTTCCTTTTGTAAAATATAACCTACAAAACACTGAATTTGATTAAAAATTCAATTGATTTTATGATTTGGTTAGTAAAAAATAACGAATTTAGTAATAATGTAATTACAATATCACATAATATTATAATTTTATGTAATATTAAATAAATATATAATATTATAAATAAATCTTTAAATAAAAAATAACCTACAAAACACTGAATTTTGTTAAAAATT